CTGGAGTGGTTCTGCCAAAAAAGACCCCCAAAGCTGCCAGGCAGACATGGATGGCATTGCCTGGCCCCCATGCTCTCAGGGTATTTGAGAGGGGCAAATCCCACACTTAGAACTGTGCAATACTTGAAAACAGAGAGTGTTTGCGGGGAGAGGAGGGAAGGACAGGTATTACTTGTACAAACCGGCATATGTGTGCGCGTGTGTTTGGGTGCGTGGGTGTGTGTTTGCAAAGAGGATTTAAAGAGAGGAGAATAATAGAAATTTAAGCAAAACAAAAGGAAGTTTTAAAATACCCCCCCCTCCCCACCAATCCTTTCCCTGCCCCTCTTTCCCCTGGTGTTTGTGGGTTTTTCCCTGTGGCCATTCCAGAGAATTGACAAAGTGATAGGAGGGTTGTTTTGGTTTTTCTTTTCCCCCCAGTTCTTCTTTTGGCATGCTGTTCCCCCTTTCCCTCGCTGTTTCCTGCTTTCTCTAAATGTACTGTATGTTTGACCTGTGAAAGATGTAAACATTATGATTCAGGTTACGTCTGTTCTTAACTCTGTATCCGTGTAATAAAGAAAATTTAATATCACCCATCCGGATCCAGTTCTTTGGATGCCTTTTCTGATCACATAAGGCTGCTGGTACTTAAGCAGGGATGCCAATTCTGCACCCATCCAGATGCGGTTGCACTCGAAATCCCAGCATTGCTCACCCAGGACTCTGCTGGCGAGGGTTGCCAAGTTTCAGGGCCTAGCCCCGAGTCTCCAAATTTTGTGGATCATCTCCAATGGGGAGACAAGGATGCAAATTCTCCAGTTTTGAGGTGCTCAGCTCCAAGTGAGAGGGCAAGGCTATGCACAAGTCTCTAGCTCACTTAGTATAGAAGCAGCTTACAACAATTTGCAAGTCTTAATGGATTTCTGGCTACAACTTTCCGAACACTAGAGGATGGGGGGCATCTATGCATTTAATTAATTAGCTTCCTTATTGCCATTCCCCAATTGTTGGACTATCAGGGCTTACCCTCTGCCTTTCAACCACCATCTGGCTAGAGGCAAATTGGCTAAATTAAATTATGTTTACTTTTTTATTTACTTACCACCCTATATCCAAAGATCTCAGGGCAACTTAAAATAAAATCAGTTTAAAACTGATGATGATGATATTTTTTAAGGATTAAAATATATTGCATAGTTTTCCCATTAAAAACCAGACAACATATGTGCTTCCTCTTTAATAATTTAAGCCATCTTGACCACACTCTGATGTTGCTTGGCCACATTTTGGAAGGTTTGCCAGATCAGAGTTTTCAGTTCTGCAGCCCTCCAGATGTTGGACTGCAAATCTCAGCGGCCTTAGCCAGCACCTCCCAAGGCGAAGAATGCTGGGGTTTGCAGTCCAACAACTCCTGGAGGATTCTGTGATCCCCATCCCAGGCTTAGACCTTGCTTATGTGTTGGAAAACAAAAAAGGCATTGCACACAACATGTGTGGAAGAATTATGCAGCAAAAGGATGGCATAAAAGGTGCAATGTGAACACATACATTATGGGAACTCCATAACATTGGCAGCACATGAGAAATGCCCATTCCTCCCATAGCCACCCACCATCTTTCCAGAAAGGCCATGAGGATAGGAGAAAGCCAGAAAAAAAGAATATCACTACAGGGAGGACTTGTTATGGCACCTAGGAAGGATTCAGCAAGCATGAGAAGGGAAGGTGCTTTCTTGTCCATAGGTGCTTCTACATTTTTGGCCAGATGTGGGCATGGGCATGAGAAGGCGCTTAGAACAATGCTGCTAAATGCTACTTCCATTACTCAGGAGTAGCTTTTGGAATTGCAAACCAGGTTCTAGTAGCTCTGCAACCACTGAAAACCAAAGCGAGGGAGTTCACTGACTGTTGATTCACCTGGATTGGATCTGGTCCCTGGGGTTATAAAGGGGGGTTGCACATGACATCTGTGCAAGAATTATGCAGTTTCCTGAACATCTGGGAAGAGAAGAGAACCCCTTGAAATGCCCTGGAGAATCAGAATGAGAAAAGGCCCGCCTGGAGATTTTGGATTTCGTTGTCTCGGAGGGCTGTTTGGAAGAATCCACCAACATCACAAACTTCACCTTGGAATTGCAAGGAAGTGCAAGTGGAGGCAAATGCAACCATTTAGCAGAGCATTGTCTACACACCACAGCTAGAAAACCTGTGGCCCTCCATGTGTCGAGGGACTACAGCTCCCATCAATCCTCATCCCAGCTGGCAACTGATGGGAACTGCAATCCAACATCGGGAAGATCATATCTTCTCCCATCTAACTTATCCTGAAGTGTCTTTCCAGAATTTTTAAGCAAAAGGTTTTCCTAGCCACCCTATATGAAGTTTCCAGAGATTGATCTGGGCCCTATGGGGGGTCATTTGGATGCAATGAAGGTGCTTTAAACCACAGGTATGTATTGGCCTAATTTAGAGAAAGAGGAATGGCATAGCTCAACATTTATGCTCCTTATGGCTGCAAAAAGATAATCATGCTCCTGTAACTACTTACTTACTCTTTTACTCTCCCTACAAGCGTGCTTTGCTAATGCACTGAACTTGGATGTGTTACCTTGTCTGGACTATTTCAAGGGCCAAAGTAGCCATCCAAGCGGGTCCTGCTTAACTTCAATTTTGCTTTCTCTGACCAGCAACAGTTCTCCTTCATTGCAAGACACTCTATAGCAGGGGTGACAACTCTACAATTCATTTGTTGTTGTTTGCCTTCAGGCCATTTCTGACTTTAGAAGACCCTAAGGAGAACCTATCAGGAGATTTTCTTGGCAAAGATTTCTTCAGAGGAGTTTTGCCATTGCCTTCCCTTGAGGCTGAGAGAGTGTGTCTTGCCCAAAGTGGGTTTTATGGCAGAGCTAGGCATCAGGATCATAGTCCAGTGCTCAAACCACTACATCACCTTGGCTCACATCTCTAGAAGTGGCTGAACTGCAAATCCCAACAGCATCAAGGGTCAAATCTACAACTCCATTCAATCCTAGAGGACCATGTGATGGCCACCTGTTATAGGTGTTTCCATGCTCCGCCTCCATCAAGGTAACCCCACCCCATGGGTCATCCTTGGCACCTGATTGGCTGTGGATGTCTCAAATGGAACACCTGAGGCCCCTCCCTGCTTTGTATTGCTCCTTCCAAGCTGAGTGGGCTTCCCTTCTCTACCTGGGGAAAACAGGTGTAGGGTTTGTGGGCCCCACGCTTGGACAGCCATGTTTGGACTTGGAGCAAGGTAATGTGTGAATGCGTGTCCTGCACTCAATGTGTTCCTGCAATTCCCTAGTTCTACTAGCATTTTCACAGAGCGCACCTATGTGGATGCATGACTTATGGAGTGGCTGCATAGTGTTTTGGGCAGGTGCATGGTTCTCCTCTTTAGAAGGCCAGCAGACATTGGACTACAGTCCCCAGAATCCTGGCTGGCAGTGGCATGCAGGGAGTGGTAGTCCAAAAAGCAGAATAATTTGAAGGAACATTGTTGGGATTTCAGAGAGCCAGCATGGAGTGAACATTGGACTAGGACTCTGGGAGACCATGGTTCAATTCCCTGCATAGTCATGGAAGCCCACTGAGTTACCTTGGGCATGCCACACTCTCTCAGCCTCAGAGGAAAGCCATGGCAAGCCTCCTTGGAATTACTTGAGAGCTAGCATGGTGTGATAGTTTGAGGGTTGGACTTGGCATTGGGAACATCGTAGGGATTACAGAGAGCGAACATGGTGTAGTGGTGGGAACATTGGACTAGGGTCCAAATCCCCACTTGACCATGGAAACCCACTGGGTGACCTTGGGCTAGTCACACCCTCTCAGCCTCAGTGGGAGGCAAAGGCAAAGCCCCCTCTGAACAAATCTTGCCCAGAAAGCCCCATGATAGGTTCATCTGAGAGTCCCCATTAAGTCAGATGTGACTTGAAGGCACAGAACAGACTAGGGATTGGAAAGGATGGGATTTCTCAGATTATGGAAGAGAACAAATCTTGGGAATCTTAGTCTTTTAGACTATAGATCCCGGAATTTCCCCAGCCAACATGCTCAGTTGGGTGCTGTAGTCTCAAAAAAAGATAATTTCCCCATAAATTGGGTAAAGTATTCTAGTCTTACTTCTAAATCTTGGCACTTGTGTTTCCTCCCCAAGTCCCCACTTTCCAGAAGCCGGGTCCTGGTGGTGTGACCCTCCATCTTTGGCCGCTGCAGATTCCCCCTGGGATGTCTCGGAAATCTCTACCTGGCAGAAGCACCTGGAAGGACAGACCAAACTAAGTCCCCGGGAAGGAGAGACCAAAGACCTTCTGCAAGCGGAGGAGGATCCTGTGAGTCCAGACCAACTGGTCCTGGTTGGGGAAAGTGTGGAGGAGGAATGTTTGGTCTCTAGTCTAGATGAAGCAGAGTAGCAGGGCTTTTGCAACACAATTACATCCCAGAATTGCACACACCATCATCCCCAGGTAGTCCCCCAAAGGGAGCATTTCCCAGTCTTAAGAAGCAACTCTTTACTTTCCCATTTCTCAGAAGTAAATAAAAACTTGAACGGTACTTCTTTCTTTCTTTCTTTCTTTCTTTCTTTCTTTCTTTCTTCATTTCATTTCATTATTATGCTGCCTTTCTCCCCAAAAGGGACCCTATGTGGCTTACAGGATACAAGCTCCCGCCGACCTACGGCTCAATGCTATGGAGTGTTGGGATTTATAGTTCTGCAAGACATTTTAGCCTTCTCTATTGGAGCGCTATGATGCCACCACAAACTACAAATCCCAGCGTTCCATAGGATGGAGCCATGGCAGTTAAAGCAGTCTCAAACTGTATTATTTCTGCAGCTTGAAGCTGAGAGGGTATGCCTTGCCCAATAGCACTCAATGGATTTCCATGGCTGTACGGGGATTCAAACCCTGGTCTCCTGGAGTCCTAGTTCAACACTCTAACCACTAAACCAGAAAATAGCTTCACGTCTTTGGTATTTTTACCTCTCTGGGATGCGTAGGAGCTGGAGGCCATCAAGGCGAAGGTTCGAGAGATGGAGAAGGAAGAAGAATGGCTTCAGGAGTTGCAAGCGGAAGCAAAGAGTCTCATCATGAGGTCGGACCCAGGTAGGACATCATCATCATCATTATTATTATTATTATTATTATTATTATTATTATTATTATTATTATTATGCCTTACCAAGGCTGAGATGGTGCCACCGCTGCAGAGTTAAGGAATGTTACAATCCATTCCTAGTCCTTGTTACCTTTCATGGAAAGCAACGGTTGCCATTACTTGATGCAACACTGAAAAACAGCATCTGTTGTGTAGCTCACTAATGTTCTTCTCACTATTTTATTTCATTTTTATCCTACATTTCCCCCATGACTGGAACACCGTTGTGATGATTTGTTGTTGTGTGCTTACCAGCTCAAGTGGAGTGGGCTAACCTATATAACACCTCCAATATTATATTGGAGTTCTGCAAGTTCCCTTCCAGCACCAGCACTCAGGTGTATAAAATGTCGGTGCTAACATGGCTGTTGTCGCAGTCATCATTGGGTGCCTTCAAGTCATTTCTGAATTATGAAGATCCTAAGGCCAACTTATCATGGGGTTTTCTTGGTAAGAGTTGTTCAGAG